TGTGTCGGGGGAGCCATGGTGTGGGGAGGGAGGGGAGGGGAGCGCCAGGGCGGCGTCGCGCGGGGCCCCTCGTGGGCGCGCGCCTGCTTGATGGTCGAGCAGGGAGCCCCCGCAGGGCTCCTCAGGTGGCGAGGCTTCCCCGCCGCGCCCAACGGAGCGCCTGCAGACGCCGCTTTGCGTCTCAAAATATAGGACGCGCCGCAAGAGAGAGGCGAGCGAAGACGTGCTGACGTGGCATGGAATTTTGTTTGGCGAGCTACACTCCCAATTCACAAACTCCAAGTATGTTAATGTCCACGATTGATTGATTGATTACTGATTCCGTGCGCGTCAACTTCTAAGGTCATTTGTCTCGTATGTGTGGTGCATATCGGAAGGTAGTGATGTTCTTCACCCATTGGCTAGCGAGATTCGCCACCGACCAACATCGGCTTCCGGGATTTTTTCCGACCAAAATATCTCCCGCCAGCGGGGCAACGCCTCAGTCTACATCAGCTCTAAGTTCCCGACAAGTGTTGTAGTGTAGTTTATGTGGTATAGTGAATAAGGGGAAGGATAGGATAAAGGAAGAGGAAGAAGAGATCGTGTGCGGTCCGTGGCCCGCGTGTCAGTGTACTGCACCGATATTCGCCTGATACTGATCTGATAAACACAGAAAACTACCGATTAGAGCAGACGGCCGCTAGAATTCTCCTCCACGCAGAGGATGTATTCATCCTAACTATACAGCTAGAGTCGAATACCCTGCCTCCCGTCAGAGACACTGCAGTAACATCAGTTGATGCCTTGAGCCACTTTTGTCTTTTGAATATCCAGGTTAGAATGAGGTTTTCGTTACCAGCATCTGGAGGTCAATTCGTTATTTTGTGTGTTCTGGGCTCCTTTGTGGAAACATTAAGAAATTAAAAAGTAAAAGAACATATTCATTTTCTTGTCACATAATGTAATCCAACTCCTTTCATTACATACATACATTGATACAATGAACAAAAATAAAAGAAAAACTCTGAAAAAGCACTGAGTTTTTACATTAGTCGTGTATGAACTCCAGTGCCGTAATTTAGCATAAGAAATTTTAAAAAGGTCAATAACACATACATTGTTCTAATAATAGCGATAATGTGCTTTGGAGTGGTTATTTCTACACAGTGAACAATGCAACACTATCAAAAATTATATGGGATGTATTAACCCTTGACACCAATCTAATTTTTGTTGAAGCTTTATATTCTATAAACATACACACGTTCTAGTTTTATAAACTTTTTAAGGAAGTCAATAAACTCAAATATTTAATACCCTGAATATGTAAATTTTGCTTCTAAATTACTTTACATTATTAATAGACATTACTGCCAATACCAAAGTTGGTAACATATTAACTTCCCCCTTCTCAATTTCATTATATAATTGTTTTTAGCAGATGTAGTGGGATATACAATCCTGTAATATTAACACATGAAATGAAGTTCAATACAACGCAAAATCAAAATTCCATTTATTCTCACATTCCCACTTTTTTGTTTTAATGTGATCTACGTTGCTTGGTTACCGCAATGCAAGATGGGAAATGTGTTTCTCGATAGTTTATATTGGGATGTTTTAATAAATATTAAAACTTAAAGTTATGGTTGATTATATCCTAACTCACATTATGGATAGAACATTTTGCTTAATTTGCAAATCCATCGAAAGAAAGCCCAGTTTGTTTGATTTTAGACAATCCTAGTAGCCACATTACCCTAGAAGAATATCAGTTTTGCAAGAACAACTATGTGACCATATTGCCCTTATCCCTACATCCCTCGCATCGTATCTAGGACTTGATCTGGCTGTTTACGGAGTCTTAAAATGGCAACAAGGAATGAGAATCCTTTGTCAAAACGGTTGGTCCACTGAGAAGAAAAACCCTATACAAGATATCTGAGATTTTTAACTCAGTCTTTTCTAAAATCACTTCCGTAGGAAATGAAAAAGCTTGTTTCAAAGCAAGTGGAATCTTGCTTTTAAATGCTGCCATCTTTAAATAGGATGATTTAGAAGCTATATTAGGAGGGAACCCCAAACTGCAGTTGAGATTACAGCCAGTGCATCCCAGACTATGTTCCCGGAGGCGGCGCCTTCGAAGGGATAGCAATGGACGATAACCCACTTCTGGTGTGAAGAATCAATAGAGACGTCTTCGCCTAAAGATCAAGAACGAAGTGCCCCTCTACCATCTACAGGCAAAAGAAGACCAAGGCGAATGTGAAGATTCTTTAACAAATGTTTTGTTCCCAATGTCCCCTACGCGAAAATTAGGGTACCGGTCCCTCAAATATGAACCAAAAGGACATTCGGAGACTTTGACTGCTTCACCCTTCAACCAACTCTATGAAGACAAGGAACAACTAAAGAAAGAGAAGGCAGAAGGCAAAGGTGAGCCGAAAAAAATATCCTGATTTTCTACTGCAAAAAGGAAAACAAACTGTGATAGGAATGTAGGAGCACCTACACAGTGTTATACATGCTGATGGGTAGTGTGAAGGACGTTTAAGAGAACGGTGCAAATCTCAATTTCGTTGAAATTTTTTTTTAATGGCAAAAATTCAAACTTTTTTCCGCGTCGACTACTACAATTATGAAGATATAAAACATTCTCTTGAATGAAATCTGTTCCTTAAATGTAGATTGTTTAATAAGGCCATTTTTCAAAAATTTTAGTACTTATCGCGTAATTTTGTGTGAAAATATGGGCAAGTCTTATATATTTCCATAACCACCTGGAGGTTCTGTATATGTAAACGATGGATTATGTTGTCATGCTCTGGAATATTAAATACGACAACATTATCCAACTGTATTTTTCCAATTCCCTGGGACGTAATTTGGAAGCGGTCCCTTTATCATTCGTAATTTTGTATTTTAATTAAAAATAGTTTTTATAAGGATTGTATGACACAAAAATATTTTGATTCTATTTTGCACAATCTTTCATTTAATGACTTTTATTTAACAAGTATTTCGAAATAAGAATCGTATTTATAGTGTAAAAGTAATAATGCGATTATTTTAGCTATCACATCCGGAAGAAATGTCTGAAGTGACAGCAGCACTCCATAAAACACAAAACCAGTAAGAAGAAAACTGCCGAATTTTTATCCGGAATTAGATATCATTTGTTTAACTATTGATTGCTAGTATAAATTAAGGTTTGGTCATTACAGCATTTCGTTCATATACAATACGTGGGGGGAGTGGAAAGTTAGGAGAGGCAAAAATGATCCAAAGTAGAAAAGAAACGCAATCTTTGATACAAATTTTATTGACTGAATTTCAGAGAACAAAACATGGTAGGAGCATTAGCATACCAAAGACCTTAGATGCCACAGCCAGCAATGTAGGAGTCCGGAGAGTAGCACCGGGGGTAGGTGGTCCAAGCGGTGAAGCCGTTGCCAGAGATGGCGGCAGTCTCAGAGTAGATCTTCCTCACGCAGGCCACATCATCAGCGATGTTGTCGTCTTCGAAACTGGAGCAAGACGTGGCACAGCCAGTGCCAGGGTAGCACCAGTATCTGGAAAACAAAAAATGATTGGTACCGAGATTCCTGACTAGATAATTTTCAGTAAAAGGTTTACTTAGTATGGGTGTTATTGAGAATTTTTGTTCACAACCAATATTCTTTGTAATGGTATTACTTTGTGAAAAACTTTAAAATATGGAAATCGGTGTAACCCACCAGTTTCTTTTATTCGCCGTTTATTTGCTTTCAAAATTGCGCTAATTTTTCTTAAGCCCGAAGAATCCGCCCAAACATATTAGCACCCTGAGAAAGGAGATCAATGAAAATTTGAACATATTAATGAAAAATAGTTGTTCGTATTGCTTTCCCGCTTCAATCATAATATTACGTCTCCAACGTCTTATGCAGGATTAACAAATAGCCCTCACGTGAGTCAGTAAAGAAAGATAATTAACAGTGCCGCCAAGGAGTAATGTATTCAATTTTTATTTCTGGATGATCATCAGAGTATCTCATAGACTGAGTTCCGGCCAATCCATGCCTCCTTTCCGAAGGCGATGAGAAGAACGACTAGTATTAGATAATAGAAGAACCTTAGAAATAGATCCGCACAAACGCATCACTTCGAAAAAATGCCTGCCAATCAAATAGTTTATTTCAGCGGTCGGATTGTCAGCTACTGCATGAAGTTGTACTCCCACTTCAAAAGTGCTATCATTGACAACCCGCAAGTACCTGTCGTTGATCTGGAAGAGTCCGTGGTCCTTGCTGCCGTCGGAATTGGCGTTTCCTACGGCGGCGGTGTTGTAGCTGGACTCGGCAAACGCGATGCACACCCACGTGGCGATCTGGCTGCGCGGCAAGCCATACGTGTACAGCAGCTCCCTGGCCAGGTCGCAGGGCTGGTAGATCTTGGCGCCGCCGGCGCACACCAGGGCGAGGAGTAGGGCGACGCGCAGCATGGTGCGAAAGCGAGTGCGGTGGGCGGGTCGAGAGGAAGGCTCGGGAGAGGTGTGTTGTCTGAGGTGCGGGACGGCGCGTTTATATACGCGCGCTAACGGGAACCGGGGAGGAAAAACCTGGTTGACACTCACACCTGTATCAATCGTGCCTGCTGAAACGCACGGGTGACCCTCCCCCGCCCGGG